CTCGTGCGACTCTTACGCTTCTTTCGTGCTTAGCAACCTCCCGCGTGCATCCATAACTCAATAGTGCACGCTATGGCGTTTACCATTTGTTAATTATACGGTGTTTATTCGATTAAAACGCCTGTTTGTCTCTTGTCCCTTCATTGACGTCACTCCTGTTGAGTTTTTATGATCCCATAAGGCCAAGCAAATAGTGGGAATGCTTGGTAACCGCGCAATACTTATCAAACCGTAATGGCGTCGAAGAGCGCCAAATTTTGTTGTCAACAACAAGAAAATTGTTGTGTGACCCAGTGAGTGGTTTTTGATTCTTCCAGTTCATTTGTAGAATCACGGTAATAATGCTGTGCGAAGAACAATATGTTTTATGAAACCTTGGGTTTATAAGAATATTTTACCGGTTGAGTAAAGGACGAAAAAAAATGTCTGCTAAAAATAAGAAATTTGAACGAGGATCGGTCACTTCTGGCTCGTCTGAAAACTTGTCGGCAAAGAGACTTGGCTCAGCTAAGGTAAACAGGCCTAGTTCTGCAGATGGAAGCAAATATTCAGCGCGATCTACGGCAAGTTTGGTAAGTTTTTAATTTGTCAGTACTGTGTATATTAATTCTATCATTAGTTGTATTTGAGCTTAATGTGTGTCCACATCACTAGAAGATATGGAACATTTAGAGTGTGATATTGAGCCTAATGATCGAAGTCAAAGACTATGTTAAGATTATTTTTTCAGTTAAATGGAAAACTTAATTAAAACTCTTGAAAGAACCAAGGTCAAGTCAGACTTTGGAAACCTCAATATGTATTAGAAAACACAATCTGTGGTAAAAAAAATGTTAACTTTAAACTCTTTATTTGTAAGTTTTTCTTTCATAAGCCAATATCATAGTGCAGATGCGAATGCATAGCCCATGTATCCTCGAAACTTCTCTCTTACTTAAAGTTGTACAATATCTGGTTTAAATTTTTTTTTATATTAGGAATGAATACTTTTTGTGTCTAGTCAAAACATGTAATGTAACTCAGGGTATTGCTCAGTATATCAAATGGACATGTGGCAAGATTCAAGATTGTAGCCAAGATCTGACTGGGGAGCGTCCTAAATTAAATATAGAGCAATCAGACCTCACTGTTCTAGTGGTGTCTATGGACATGCTCCCCTGGAAATATTTGACAATATTGAATTGTCTTCAATTCAATACATATAACAAAGAACTCTGGACCTGACATTTCAGCCCCAGGGTGAAGAAATTTATTGATCAATATTTAAGAAATAACAACAAGTAGATTTACACTAAAACAATATTTGCTCTTGATTTCTATGCATGACAGATGACTTGAGCTGCACCCTCGTCAATTATCACGCGATAGAAATCTTGAGCTCATAATCTAATTGTTTGATAGAAACACAAGTGGAAGTTTGAGAGAACAAGAAATGCTGTGGGAGCACAAGTCGATGGTCGAGTTTTTCCACAGCTTTTTCAAGTTCTCCTAAACTTTCACAAGTGTTTCTATTAAACAATTAGATTATGAGCTCGAGATTTCTATCACACATAGAAATCAAGAGCAAGTAATCTAATTGTTTTAGTATAAATCTGCTAGTTGCTCAAAACTTTATCTAATGCTCTTCACAGACACTTAAAAAATGTCAAGAAGCAGCCATCATTTTGTTAACAAGGGCACACTGCTATGCTACTCACTCTCTATTACAGAACAGATAGTGAGCAATGTAGCCAATCAGAGAATGGCATTCGTGATAGAACGCTAGTGGATTTATACTTAAACTCGATAGAGACAACAACAACAACAAAAAAGAACAACAAAAAAAAGAAAACAACTTGTTTACTTTGATTATCAAAATGTAAATTCTCTTTAATTGCGCCATCATTACGTCAACAGCTCATGCTAGTTCTGTGTTTCTATCAATTTATAGAAACATGATTTTTAAACAATCATCGCATATATTTTTTGGGCTAGATTCTATATCCAAACCATATAGGTATCTACAGGATGTCTGTACACTCATCTAGCTTAAAGCCTGCCAAGACTGCGCTTTCAGTATTGACCATTGCTGCCAGCTGAATTTATGCTTTATATATAAATATAATCACATTATTATTCTTGAAATAATTTTTCTTTTCCAAAACAGGTATTGGTAATGCTGACTTGACCTTTGTTCTTTAAAAAATATGGGTTGCAACATTTGAAAGAAGCATGTGCTCATTTAGAGCTGTTATAAATTTTTGCTTCCTAATGCAAAGAATACAACGTAACACATACTGAGTGTTTTGATTTCAAGTTCTCAACTTCAGTTAATCCAATATCACATTTTATACCATGCCATTGGAACTTAACAACCAATCAGAATACAGAAAAGCAGTTGCATACTTAACGGCGTTACACCCAACCTTCCCATTGGAACTGCGTGTATGCTGTATTAATTGTGTTTTCCACTGTAATTTCTATGGCATGGTTGTATTTATTGGTCTACGCAATTGCTTGTGTATATACCAAATAAATACAAGTGATTGTGAGATGTTCCATGGTACATGTATACTTCTCAAGACCATTGCATAACCAGTACATATATATATAAATGTTTATGCATAGCCTATATTAGTCTTTGATTTGTAACTCATCAATTACTGCCAAAATCGATGACTAAACAACTGATTTGCCATTTATTACAAAACAAAACATATTATTATCTTTCCACTGTTGTCATGCTATGTTTTGGGATGTTAAGTTAAGAAATTAGTTTTTTAAGAATGAAAACTATTCAAACCATGACTCCTCTTATTTGGCTCCTTGAAACTGTTGTTCATCTGACAAAGAACCCTTGTATTTGTAAACCTCGCCAATTTTTTTGATGTTATTAATGTTATGTTAGTAAAAGTTTTTTGTCTTTATTGTAGGATTCGGATGTGAGTGACTTTCTGTCAGTCACTGGAACAAGTAAAGTTCCTCAAAAATCTGGACAACATAAAAGGAGTAAGTTAATGATATGACTCTCTGTATCTGTGGAATTATAATCTGTAACTTCTAGTACTGGGGTTGTCTAGAAAGTGAATACAGTGAATACCAAGCACAGTGTAGGACAGGATAACAAGGTTCTAATACTGTTTTTCTTAAGACAAAATCTGACTGCATTAAATCACAAATGTTAGATTTTATTGTTACCATTTTGTGCTGTGATTGGTTTTCATTGTCTAACTGCTTTCTTTGTCACCGTAGCATTGTTATGCAGACTACAGGCCTGGTATTTCTGGTGGTTTTTGGTGGAATAAGTTACTCAGATCTGGTCAGTAAATTGTACAGTAGTACATTAGCATGCTTGCAATCTTAGTGTAAAACTTGTGAGCTCAAACCTTGCCAATGGCAATGGCAAAATTCATCCTATTGTCTTGTCACAACCAATTTTGTTAAGAATGGTAACTGAAAACAAAATTATACATATAGGAATGAACATCAAAATTACACATACAAGAATGAACATAAAACAACGTGCTGGAACTGACATAAAAAATTCAAGAAAATGAAGCAAAATTAGTGAAGAAAACTTACAAGGCAAATGAGAAAAGCTTTAAACAGAACAGCAAACATAAACTTGTTACTGGAGCAGAAACAGCTAAAAACCCATACTGAAGAGATAAATATTTACATGTACATGCCGACCAAATATACAATGTGCATAATACATATGAAAAATACAGAAAAAGAAAGAAAGAAAAAGTTACACTAAAACACAGAACTGTGCATTTGAATTCCTGGCACCTATAGATATCAAGAAAATTTTATTGCTATTTCAATTTCCTTTTTAATTAATTGTTTTGCAGGTGGAAGTGCAGGCTTTGTCAGGTCACGGCACAATGAGGTTCATGTATCTGGGAGTGACAGTGACAGCACAAGAACCAGCAGTAGCTCAGGAACAAGAAGAAAGACTGCAAACACAAAAAAGACTGCAACGACAAGGTAACCTTTACAGGGCTAGAGAGAGGATTTTTTTCTATTTCAGCAGCGTGGATTAATGTTTTAGAATACTTAAGGTATATCTAGCAGACTAAGCATTGTACTATTTGTGTGAAAAATTAGTCTGTTGAACCCTTGTTGTTTCAAACCTGGTTACAGTATCTCAGACCCTCTGCTTTCTCAAACTACCCATTATCTCAAACTCAAATCCATGTTTTTTAATTAGATAAATTATACATTTTTACTTTGTACTAGTTATCAGATTTCCTAAATTGACGATTTCCCCTTGGATATGCATTTTCAGTCATTTACTATTGGCTGTCTCAAACCCCTGCCATTTTGAACATTCTTCACTTCCCTTGAGAGTTTGAAATAGCAGGGTTCTAGTACACTGTACTTCTTGTCCCTTAATTTTGGTAACCAGATCTAGTAACAATATTGTTGACTGTTTGACCGAGACATACCTTTAACCTTTATGTCCTTTCCTCTTCAAATCCTCAATTACGTGTACTTCTGTTTCTGATTTTGTTCCCCTAAGTGGTTCACTTTGACAATCCACATTGACCTTCTTTACCAAATGAACATTGTGCCATACGTGTCTAGAGTCTATATACAAAGCCAAAATTCTTCTTTGTCTTTGTCAGGTTTTCTGAGGATCATATCCCTCTTATTATGTCACAAGCCAAAGCTAGAGCTAAACCTAAACTGGCCACAACTTTTCAGGTAAGTTAATCCTCTTTGGCTGAGTAGTTCGAACTAAAGTTGACAAATAGATTTATGTCTCACGCTTTCTAGAGAAGCTGTTACCATCTCCAAAAGTTTCTCCCAGATGGAGGACACCTAAACTCCAACTCGGGGTGAGGGGGCTTAGGCAGTTGGGGGGTGGGGGTGAAAATTGTCCTGGTCAGTAACTTAATACTGCAGAAATCAGAATTAGTTGTTGTCCTGTCAGGCCACTAGATGTTTTACTTTTTTTAATTCAGCGACATACCAATGCTGCCAAGGCCAGCCCTGGCGCTCTGCCAGACAGACCATCAGCATCATCCCAGAATAACTTACAGCCTGACGAGGTTGATGAGTGGTGGCTGTCAGTTGCTGATCCTACACCAGTCCCTCCATTGTTTCTGCAGTCCCCTACAGAATTGAACAAGGAAAATGACTGGTGGCCTGGTTCGAACAAGACAAGCAATCACGTGGGTGAGGATTTTCTGTTGGGTGATGTCAGTAATGCCCGGCCTGTCACGAACAATTTTGATCAAAGTGATCCTGACTTTGACATGCTTGAAGGAAACTCCAGAATCAAACCTGACAAGTCAACTACAAGAAGGGAAGACATACCTAAACTATTTCTTGATGATCTTCTGGAAGACGAGGGTGACAGCAGGCGTAAGAAGGCTGCTGTGAGCATTCAGCGCTGGTTCCGTGGATGGAAAACCAGGAAGCAGCTTAGTGGACAGAATGCTGTCAAGGAATTGTTAAGTCAAAAGAAAATGGAAAAGGAGAAAGAGATGTTCGGTGACCATACAAGCATGCAAACTGAGGTACATTTATAAGTACATGTAGTTTGTTTATTAATAAATGTAATTTTCCTGGCAGAGTTAGTCCTGGAAAGAGCTGTTTAATGTTGGTGACTGACGAATCAACAACCTGACTGAAAGTCACCTTCGGAGACAAGTGTGAAGGTTGTTGAAACATCAGTGCTCCTGATACTTCTGGCCATGGGTTTGACAAACAAGAGGAAGATTTGTATTAAAGTTAGCAGGTTTACCCCAGTTCTCATAACTTCAACAGGGTGGTACATGGAGGCAGTATCCACTGCAGGGTTCCATAGTCAAACTCTTTTCGTTTGACACAAACTCTGTGATGTTACAGCAACATTTTGTTAACTCAAATTGAAAGTTGTCCGTTCCTTTGAACAAATTTCAAACATTGTGTCACAACAGTGCAGAGCTCCCTTTAAGGGAACATCCAGTTAGACTGTAAGGCAAGACAAGATTGATACACCAAAAAAGAACTACATGTAGTTTCTGGTTTCAGACTTTCAACAAACTAATTTTGTGAACAGTGCATTCTCTGAATGTATATTTGTGAGTATTGTGAGTCCACTGGACAATCCAGAGGATTGAGAATAAAGCAGATCAAGGACTAAATCTAAGTATGGGTAAATTTTCTTTAGCATGTCCAACTTGTTGATAATTTGTGGTTTATGAAACTAGCTTACTTTTGAAGCTCATAATGAAGTTTGTTCACATGTTCTTCTGTGTCATTACTCCTATTTAATGTTTAATTCACAGGAAGAACTTAAAGATCAAAAGGAAGATGAAAAGAGAAAAAGACGTGAGGAGAAAGCAAGACTAGCAAGACAAGCTGCTATACAGGAACTACAGAAAAAGAGAGAAGAAAAACGACATGAGAACCAAAGAAAGGCAGAAGAAGAATTGGTACAGTTTTGTTGTTTTGCTTGCCTGGGTAAACAGAAGTCTCTCTTTACATGCTTCTAAGTTATTTCTTTCGGGAAAGACATGTTAGATTTGACATAAGAGAAGTCCGGAGACATAGTTGATGAAACTACATTAATATGAACACCGTCTCTGATTGGTTGTTGTTAACTTGTAAAAATTCTAAGCATACCATATTGGCCAGTCAGTAACACAAGGAGTTACATGTACATGTCAGAGGTGAATTCAGTTATTCCTGTTGTGCAGGAGGACCTGAGCATATGAGGGTAGAAGTCTGTTTACTGACAGGTTCTTGTCTGTGGAAAGTTTAACATATAGATAATCTTATGTCATGCTAATTGTATATCTTGAGAGGAGATCCATGTCATGTTACGTGTAGTGTTAATCAAAGGAAAGCTAGCGATGAAATAATAAGGTTGCAATTTGAGAGACTGCTGATGTATGTGCTGTTGACTGCTGATGTAAGTACCACTTTTCAAGAATCAGTCTTTCATTAATTTCATGAAACCTTTTTGGTAGGTTTTCCTCCAAGCCAGTGGAAAAGTTAGTAAAAAGAAATCAGGGAACTCTTTATCAGCGACAAAGCCGAAACCTAAGGGAAAGAAGAGCACAGGTGTTGGTGTGTCTAGCAGTGCTGTAAAAAATAACGAGGCAGTAAGTTCTATTGAAACAGCATCAAGACCTGGGACAGCCAGTAGTGTTGGAAGGAAGGTTGATGAACTATTCCAGGTGAGTTACACCTAGAACTTCCATATGAGACTCCTGTAGGAAGCTTCCTGTGAGTGGTAACTACAGAGGTCAACATGCAGATGCAATGTACCTTCAATAAGGAGGCACCTTGTCCAAATGGATGAGTAACACCTGCATTAAGTGGCCACCTTCTTGTAAAGCTGTCACCTTCCATAAGGAGTTGCTCTCAATAAGTGAAGATATATTAACAACCATATGTGATACTGACATTTTAGCATTAGGCCCATAAACATAAACAGCCTGTCACCTCCCATTTGCACTCACCTACTGCAAGTGGCAATGTTACCATGTTACCATAAACCCGTTGCACATGCAGATGCTTTCCTGAAGTTAATGCCTCCTAATATTTACTTATAAGTACGGTATATACATAAGACCTACACTGTAGTGGTTGCCACACGACTGTATGACCATCGTTTATACATTTGGTACATTTAAACCATTTTCAACTGATTGTGTTAACCCACAATAACACTACCTGCAGTTATGTTTTGCTTTTTACTCTCAGGAATCTCGAGAATCACAAGTGAGTGCTGCTGCCTCTGCTGCTGATGAGCAAGCCACAGGACCTCTCTTCTCTGATCGCACAGATGACACAGATAAAACAGTAACAAGGTACAGTGTACATCCCATGAGTAGACAAATGCTCTGCTGGGAATAATTTCCAAATGTTTGAATACATGTACTTCCAAGATGGTTTCCTATTTTGAAGCTACTTGAATGCATTTCTTCAGCTCCCAGGTTGGTGGAGAAAGTAAGACAACCTTTGATGATCTCCTTGAGTCCCTCAAACAACTGGAGGAAGAACCACCAAGTCTACTACCCATGGAGGAGAACAGTGCACCTAAATTTGGTGGATGGGGTATGAGCCCTTAAAATGTATTCACGCAATAGGCTTGGCCTGTATTTTCTGTGTAGCATCCATTGTAGTCTTCTTACTAATGGTTAGATTTTCAGACTCAAGATTTTGCACAATGTTTTGTTGCTGCTGAGCAAGTTACATTACCCATACAGCGCATACCCTCTCTCCACTCCAGGATCTAAGAGTATATTAAATGATTGCTTTATAGCTAGAAACTCCTATTAGGGTTATGATGGCAATATTATAAGTTGTAGTCAATGGATAACATCCTTCCAAGTTGAAGAAATGACACATGTTTTGAGAACTGGAGTTCCATACCATCTGCATCATTATCGGTGTCTGATGTTTCCACTAATAACAGTTCACATACTTGTATTGACATGTAGGTGATTAAGGCTTACATGTATGCACTTTTTTAACCTTCTTGGAATTCTTTATGTTTGTAGGGCAAGATTTTGAAGGTGGTGATCAAGACAAGGTAAGGGGTATTCATTTGATTTGATTGTGCACATTATACAGTGGAACCATGCCTTACGGTCACCTTGTTGATACGGTCACCTTGTTATTATGGCCACTTCTTTTTGTCCCGCCTAAACGCCAATACGTTTTCTTATAAGAAAAATGGCCAATGTAGTTGAACCTGTTTGTATGACTGTACAGGAATCTCAATCCTGAGGGGTTTTGTTTTTGTATTCCTCTCGTAGCCTTACCTCTCTTATGCTTCTCTGGACCAGTTGAACAAAGCCAAATTAGAGAGGTTAGTTTTCAGAACTTCATTTAACTTATTTTGTTATCTGTTTAATTAGTACTTGGACTGGCTAAGAGTTTGAGAATCTTGTTTAAATGCAGTTAAATGCAATTTAACATAGTTAGAACAAGGAGTACTTGTCAAGCACCTTTGCAGTCAGACACACGTGCAAGGACTCTGTATGCTCCGTTGTAGCCCAGTTTGCTGTTGTGAACTTTACAGCATTTCTAATTCATGTCTTGCTCTCACTGCAGTCAAGGCCAGTCAGGTGCTGCTCTATCAGCTGAAAAACTAAGGTATTGTCTGTCACGCATGCACGCTTCATGTTGACTTCAGGAAATAAAAATAAAGTATTGTGATAGTGAAATGAATAAGTCAGTCAAATCTAAGACGAAATGTAGTTAATGATGTTAAAATTGTGTTACAAATACATCCAAACCAAAGAGTGTCTATTTCATATTCCTAAAATGTTATTTTTTGAACTTGGCTTTTCACTTATACCGACTGTGAAGTTAATAATGCAGTTATTACATACTATACCAATCCTGTTACTAGCCTTCACAAAGAAATATTTACAATCAGGTAGTTGTCGCCACTTAATTTCAGTGTGTTCATCTTTCTAAGACGATTTTGCAGTTCAAGGTGTATGGCTGTTTGCCTGGCGTGTGTTCCATGCACAGAATATGATTTCTTTTCATTTTTAGGAGTATTTTGACATTCTTGGATGAAGTGGAGAAGGCCGAAGACGATGCTGTCAGCGAGATAGGTCAGGTAAGTCCCAGCTAATACATTAGCAAGTTTCTTAAATTTCCATCCTTGGCCCAATCTTTTAAACAGTG